ATTTTCAGGCAATCTATTAGTTTCTTCTTGTAACCACAGAAGAAACTAATAGATTGCCTGAAAATATGCCTGACTGATAAAAATAATGAATTAAATATAATGTGAGTGTGAAAAAAAATCCTAAGTAAAAATGGTGATGACGTGATGTTGGAGAGTCTCCACAAACGCTGCGCGCACCGCAGCCTTTGTGCGCAGTCTGTTTGTCTGTCCAGCTTTTGCTCTCCTACTTACAGCATTTTCACAAGTTATAACGTGTATTTCCACGTGTCATTTTGGAGAAATCTACAACAACGTAAACGCAAAGTATTAAACACCTCCACTGCCGGCGAGGGTGCGCTCCAGAGCGCGACCATAACTCAGCCTTTAGAATCATATGGATGAGACGATTCCATTGGTCATGATTCAGCTTTGGGTGGACTGGATTGACAGTCCTGATGGGTCTGCCAGCTCCCTCTGGAAAGCTCCTGTKGAACCCCAGTTCAATCGCTGCTGCTGCACATGCACACGTGGCGCACGTGACTACTCGCTGCGTCGTGCTCCCAGAGCGCAGCAGTGCCAAACTAAAAAATGATTTTTCCTCAAAACGGCTGATGAGCCACTCGTCATCAGAAAAATCTATCTGTTTATAAATAAAAGCTCTGTGTGTTACACTATTTATTATATCCTCCCGTAAGGCTGAATCCGTTCCTGTTAAATGTGTTTTAGGCACAACTTTGCACGTCTTTTATTTAACTGCGTCCATGTGGATGTAATAATTGTTAATCATGTGGATGTAATAATTGTTAATCATGTGGATGTAATAATTGTTAATCATGTTTGTCTGCTGTGAACAATAATCATTTTCACATCATGAACAGTTTCTCAGAATCACCTCTAAGTGTCTCCAATGGAACCAGAACCACAGAAACATGTGACACCAGCCCTGGAGTTGGCGTGGGGCTGCGCACATTTCCACGTTCAGTTGAGTTTTGATAAATCCGGAGTTTTGCGTGGAAAATGGTAAACGCAAGGTTTTTGTGCGTACGCACCATTGATACATGAGGCCTCAGGTCATTAGTGTTGAGGATATGAATAATGTTTTTATTGGTATTTGTCTTTTACACTATCACCTCATAACGTCCTGCGTTCTCTTCCCAACCTGAGTTGCGGCTAGGCTAACTTTGTTAGGTCGGTAATATTTACAAAGCATGTATTATTTTACAACTTACAAGTATCAAAGGGACATCATAGTGAAAACAAATATTGTAATACTGAGGAAAATATCTGTCATGTTTACTGTAGCACTGACTAAACAAATTAGCTAAGCTAATGTAGCATCTATCTGTGAGCTATGTCGAGGGACATGTATGTTATTGTAATTAATTGTTTGCCAGTCTGTACAATCCTGTTCATCACATGATGAGTTTGGGTGTATTTTGCAAAGCTGTAACACTGATTGTATGCATCCATGGATTTCAGACAGTGAAGCTCCTCTGTGTGTAGGCACTTTTTGTGTTAACTAGTAGTTAACTATGTCACAACAAGAGATCGGAGGCAGCTTGGGTAAATCCAGATGACAGGAATTTTGTTGATATACCTTTTGCTTGAACATTCGTTAATAGTATCAATAGTGAATTCTGAAGTCTGTCCTCTCCTGCTGACCTCAGCTCAAACAGCATGTGATGCATATGATTCTGACCCAAAGGCAACAGGAGGGTACATGGAGCTCGCAGCAGCAGCRGCATGTCTCAGTGTGAACATTATTCAGGCTATGACCTCAGAATGCCGCAGCATCCATCTCTCACCCTGACAGTTGAGTCCGTAGAAACCCGGAGCGCATGTGTCACAGTGGTCTCCGGTGAATCCTGGTTTACAGATGCAGGTCTGAGTGCGAGGGTCCGGCCTGCAGGAGTTATCCACTGTACCTGCTGCACTGCACTCACAGTCTGGGTTCATAAACAGATACATGTGGTGGTTTAATATTTGTTCAAATTGATCTGAAAAATACTGAGGTTGTAACAAAGACGAGCTGAGCTACAAACAGTTTGAATTATTCTGACGTAAACAAACGTTTTTGTTTCAGTCTGTTGATATAAAGCACAGCTACAGGTCTGAACCAGATTTCTAAATGAAGCTTATTTATGAGCTAAATAAAGAACTTACTGATGATCTCTCCGGCTGGTTTGGCCTCCCCGTTGTTGTTGGGGGGATAGGTGGGGATGGCTAGAGAAGAAATAAATACAATTAAAAAAGTGTTTTCTTACTGTTTTTCATTTCTAATTACCGTATTTATTTGTGTACAATACGATCTCATGTATAA